CCCCCCTTTCGTGCACATGCTGAGAGATGTACAATGAGATTGGTGCTGAGAGGTATTAGTTGTGAGTGATTTGAACTGCTGCATTCCTTGAGTGGTTCTTTTCCTCTCTGGTTCTCACTGTAACACCCAGCTCTCACCTGTGGTTCCAACTTGCAGTAAGTGTGCAATGCTGGCCATACCCTGGCAAACTGCCTGGGCAGCTGGGCTAAACAGAAGTATGGAAACTAGTGGTGATTTAAGGATTGCCCTCCCAAGCGAATCATGGCTATTCACTGCAGCTAAAGAAGCTTTAAGTTGTAACCAACTTTGTGCTGTTGGGCTAAGCTTCAGCAGCTGAGAACACCAACTTGGAGGTCCTCCAAAAGTCAAATGCCACAACCACTGAGGCAATGCTGATCCAAGTCTGAATACACTGGGTAGGACACATCATTAGGATGCCTGAACATCAACTCCTGAGAGACTTTCTATGGAGAATAGGCACAAAGACATGAGAATTAAAGCTGCTCCAGAAAGTGTTGCTAGGACGGTGTCAAGCACAGCATACAATTTGGTGCTACAAAAAAGATGAACTTGAGAAAGTTGCATTAAATAAATCCATGTGGCAACACAACACACACAATTTTCCAAGCCTTCGAAGAATACAGAAATCATAGAACCATAGAGCTGGAAGAGACCTCAGAAGGTCATCAAGTCCAGCCCCCTGCTCTAGGCAGGACCAATCCCAACTAAGTCAACCCAGCCAGGGCTTTGTCAAGCCGAGACTTAAACACCTCTAGGGATGGAGACTCCACTACTTCCCTAGGGAACCCATTCCAGTGCTTCACCACCTTCCTAGTGAAATAGTTTTTCCTAATATCCAACCTGGACCTCTCCCACCACAACTTGAGACCTTTGCTCCTTGTTCTGCCATCAGTCCCTACTGAGAATAGCATCTCTCCATCCTCTTTGGAACCTCCCTTCAGGAAGTTGAAGGCTGCTATCAAATCCCCCCTCACTCTTCGCTTCTGCAGACTAAACAGACCCAAGCCCCTCAGCCTCGCTCCAGCCCCCTAATCATTTTGGTTGCCCTCCGCTGGACCCTCTCCACATCCTTTTTGTAGTGGGAGGCCCAGAACTGGACACAATACTCCAGATGTGGCCTCACCAGAGCCGAATAAAGGGGAATAATGACATATCTGGATCTGCTGGCAATGCTCCTCTTAATGCAACCTAATATGCCATTAGCCTTCTTGGCTACAAGGGCACACTGACTCATATCCAATTGGTTCTAAAGATTGCTGTAGTGTCCTGGTACTGGAATGAAATAATCCATTGTTAGCTGCCAGGGAAAAGCCTCATACTGCTGCTGTAGCTACCAAGATGCTCCCCAATGACTTTGACTGCAGCTGCAATCCCTTAGATCCCCTTGGATATCCCACCCTTATTTTTCCAGTATGTGGATGGAACTGGTACTTTGCTGTCACGATAATATCCTTCACCCTTCTAGCATTGAATGAGGATAAGACCTTTTAAAGTAAAGCACATAATAGGTTTGAGCTATGGGGACTATTACAGGCAGTCCCCGGGTTACGTACAAGATAGGGACTGTAGGTTTGTTCTTAAGTTGAATCTGTATGTAAGGCTTTTTTCCAGTATGTGGATGGAACTGGTACTTTGCTGTCACGATAATATCCTTCACCCTTCTAGCATTGAATGAGGATAAGACCTTTTAAAGTAAAGCACATAATAGGTTTGAGCTATGGGGACTATTACAGGCAGTCCCCGGGTTACGTACAAGATAGGGACTGTAGGTTTGTTCTTAAGTTGAATCTGTATGTAAGGCTGAACTGGCGTCCAGATTCAGCCGCTGCTGAAACTGATCAGTTTCAACAGTGGCTGAATCTGGACACCAGTTCTGACTTA